CGCTAATACATGGATTTCACATTAGATTTTGAATTTCATACTAATAAACCTGCGGACTAATTAAAGTGATACGAATATAAAGTAACCCACCAAATACTATTTGAATTTTCAAATCAATTAAAATAAACTCTCTTAATTTCTTGATGATTTTGGCTTCAAGTACTTCAATCATCTCTTAATATTTATTCATACCATCACATATGATGGTGGTGATTGGCATAGATTCAATCATATAAAATCATTGACAATTAGGATTTCGACCAGGGCCACCGAAATAAAAGTAAAGCCCCCAATGTGGAGTAATGTTAGCATCGACATTGTAACAACTTTCTTGCGTTGCATAATAATAAGGATCCTTAGGTTGTTTTATAATTTAATTCTCATCAATTATCTCAATATTTCTGAAATAACTAACTTTTTACCATCTTTCTTTTGCAAAATGTCCACTCCCCATTTGTGTTGTCGTATGTTGTGAATCATCTTTATAATCTATTGTTTCATCTCCAAAATGAATATCGGGTGTACCGTTTTGTAGATTGGTAAAAAGGAAGGAAGGCCAATATCCAACCATTAGATCATTAAAATGTCTCAACCACCAGTTCCCTGAATGGGGGTCCTATACAATAGTATAACACTTTCATTTTCATTTTTAAAATACTAAGTAAATGAGAATTAGTTGAAATTATATGATGAAAATATTATGAATTTATAGACCTTCCAAATAGTAGTGGGAATATGATGTTGTGGGCCATCTAAAATAAAAATGTCACTAAAGGCTGCAACTATGGCAAATCCTAGATCAATAAATACAAAGCCTTTACAAGTAAGATTGTAGCAGCCTGTTTTTTTAAATCCATCACACTGTTTCCATGTTACCAAACAACACACAAAATGTAACTTTATAAGTGGATATTTTGACCCAATAAATTAAAATCAACACTATCATATATAAATTAACTAACAGTCCAATAAATAAAGTGGCGGGGGTTAATATCACCAGTACGTCCTTGATAAACCTAATTAATAAGAATAAGAGACCAAAGAAAATAAGA